ACATTATCTTCAAGGATTATTTGGCATCAGAGCCTGTGATTAACTATAAAACGGCAGCATATGATGCAGCGAGGAGCCCACCGTAAATCACTCGCTTGTCACTGAGAGACTTTTTGGATTCACACTCGGCAGTAAACATCTGTTACAGTTACAGCAAAAAAAGGTGAAACCACAGCACAGCTGGAGCTCATCTGTTGCCTACCGAACACAAGTTGTGATGCTGAAAGCGTCTTAAGTGTAAAATTAGTGTCCGTGCTTATTCACGCACCTGGCTTTCAGATTTTTTAAAGTGCGAGCAAAAACATGCAAAGTGCTGCAAAGTCTCCTGTTTGTTCCATCAAAATATGTTGTGAAGATGTGAATGCAGCACATTTGAGTGGGAAGGGTGAAGCGCCCACACCTACCTCCACCCTCATTTGCTCCACTCTGGGCCCTTGAGCAAGGCCCTCAACCCCCCCAACCCCCCACCCCCACCCCACCCCCATGTCAGAGCCCTCCCTGTACTATTCAGCTCAATTCAGTTCATTCATATAGCACCAAGTCACAACAGAAGTCACACTGAACAGAAACATTCATACACATAAAATTAAATTAATGACGTTATTTATCTGAGGAGCAGACTGCTTTGAATTTAACTCCATCACAGAACTCACATCTTGAGCAAGCGTAAAGGCAACAGTGGAAAGGAGAAACTCCCTCATGAGGAATAAACCTTTAGCAGAACCAGGCTCAGGACAAGCGACCATCTGCTTCGACCGGCTGGGTTTGAGAGGAACAGATACACAATGGCAGGTCAAGAATCACATGTTAAGATAGAAATAGTTTCAAATGAAAATATTCAGTTTTAACAATTCATTTAAGGAAATGAGGTCAATTTGTCCTCTAGTAGTCTAAGCCTATAGCAGCATAACAAGCCAACCCTAACTATAGGATTTATCAAAAAGGAAAGTCTTAAGCCTAGTTTTAAAACTGGACAATGTGTCAGCCTCACGGACAGAAACTGGAAGTTGGTTCCTCAAGAGAGGAGCCTGATAACTGGAAGATCTTCCTCCCATTCTGCTCTTGTAAACTCTAGTAACCACAAGTAAACCTGCAGTCTGAGAGTAAAGTGCTCTGTAAGGAAAATATGGAACAATAAATCTGTAATATAAGATGGAGCTAGGTTGTTGAGGGCTTTGTAGGTTCGAAGTAAGAATTTGGTTTCAATTCTGAATTTTACCGGGAGCCAATGGAGAGGACTACAGAGGACTGTGGTAGCTCAATGGCTGCAATCGCATAATCTGGCATTAAAAAAATGGTCAAATCTTTATGGATGTTCACTTGTTGTGACAACCCCTGAAGAATGGAGCAGCCGAAAGAAGAATATGAAGAAAATTCAAGAGTAAATTGTATTATAAAACACTTAATCACTAACATCTTGTCACAAAATATTATGTTCCAAAATGTACAAACACTTTGACAGAGAAAAATTTGTATTTTGCATCAAAAAGGGATTCCCAAAGTGATTAAAGTTTATGCTCTATAATCCAGGTAAAAAATTCAACAAAGTTAAGTCACGTCATCTGGACAGTTTTTTTTTTTATTTGTTGAAACGTTTCATCCTTCATCCAAAGGACTTCATCAGTCCGAAGAGCCACAACAAGTTCTTTCTATTCCCCAAATTCCCAAAGAGCTTATAAATTATAAACTGGAAAATATTGGGAGGTTGTGCAATTCAGCTGTCGGTGGTTCTACAGTAAATGTTTGATGATCGTCAAAATGGCATTCATGAGTTTTTAGCTGAGATTCAGGCATTTCTGTGGATGCTACATGTCTAAGTTTAACAAACAGAGCTTGTGTTAGTGCAGTGAGAAAAGTGCAATTCAGCCTCGGTACCAGGGGCATGGAGCTCAAGACGTTAAATGATCCGCCATAAGCAGCACAACTATTTTTCTAATACTTATATTTGCGTTATATTAGCATCACAACATGGGTTCATATCTTACATGATGCACTTTTGTATTTCATTTAAAATATTAATATTCTCATTGTAATCCTAAATTGAACAGGAGTCTGCTGGAACTAGTGTCCTAAAGATGAGTTGGTTTGTTGTTTGTTTTTTTGACTCACCTGACAGGTTTCTTTTTATCCAGCATTTTCAGAAGTGAATAAACCGAATGAGAGAAGGGAAAATGTCTCAAACCCCCAGAAAGGACGTCCAGTTGCCCTCTGTTCAAGCACTTAGAAGTGCCTTTTAAAATTTGAGGTCAAAGTTATTTGTCTTAGACAAAAAAGAAAAAACCCATTCCTCTTCAAATGGTCAAGTACATGTACTAATATCCTGTAAATGAGAGAAGAAGTAGCTAATGTCCTGAGACAAACTTTGAGAGACCTTCAGAAAGCATGGTCAAGAATGGCTTTCATCCACTTTTAAAAGTAAATTGGTCTGAAAGCAAAATAATAAAGAATGAAAGATTGCTCAAGACTTTTACGCAGGGCTGTATAAATATTTGAGCAAGATTAAAAATGGCACATTGTAATTTTTAAGCTAATTTGTTACCACTCACAACTTTAAAAAAAAAAGAAAAGAAAATTGAAGTAGAATTTCCTCTGAAGTCCAGGCTGGCAGCAGCAGCTCTCATCCATGCAGCCTTTCGTACATCTGTCCGTCAGCTCGTCTGCCCTCCCATGTTAATTAGTAAGATGGTGCTTCAGACTGCTTGCCAAGCTGCCCCCCTTTTGTCCTCTGCTGTTGCACGGCTAAATTTAAGGCCTTATTATTTTCTCACAAAGGGATGCTGGTGAATAGACATGAACTGAAACTCAAACCAAATCCAACCACGATCCTCATTAGTGAGATTACAACTGTCATGTTGAGTCACCTGACTGAAAGAGGCTAACGAGAAACTATTAGCTGCACACAAGACTGAACCCACAGAGGTGAAATATACATAAAGGCCTCACCTCTGCAAATGTATTCAAGTACATGCTGGGAGATCCTGTTTCTCAAAGCCACACATATTTATGCAGCCGTCCACGCACGCTCGGTGCCCACCGCAGCCGCATACAAACTTATCCTCTTCAGCTGTGAGTCATTGACCTGACAAATGCAGTTTGTAGACATATGAGCTGTGGGATGTGTGCAGATGATATGAGGTTTGTGTTTGTGCTGTAAGATTTTGTCAACACATCCAGCATTACAGCAGCTGTTTGCCGCTCTGTACACAGAGAGGAGCAGCAGACCCACAGGGGTGGGGGCGCACGGGGTTTGTGTGCAGCTCAGGAAACACAATCTCAAAGCCAATGAAGCCATCCCTCACAAAGGCTGCCTATTTTAATACCAGTTTGAATATTTATTTTGGTCTCTCTGCCTGTGATGCTGTTGTTGTCTTCTGAACCACAGTTCTTTTTGTTCCCTGTACCGGAGCGAAGAGGGGGATTGGAAATACCTTCTGTCAGTCCATGAACATTTTGAGCGCAATAACTTGAGCAATAGGTGAGATAGCATTTTGGTGTATGGCTGCATCTAGGTGTAAGAAAGGCTCCTTTTGAAAATTGAGTTGCAAGTTCAAAATCCAAGATGGCCACTGCCATATGTTTTATGTTTATATGTAAACCTTGTGAGCTGGATAACTTGGAAAAATAAGCAACAGGCCAACTTCCTTTTTGGTGTGTGGCTGCATCTAGACCTAAGAAACATTTCTTTCAAAAACTGGGTTGCCGTGTCAAAATCCAAGATGGCCACCACTATATTTGTGGGGGGTTGGGGGTTGGAAACTATGCTTTCTCATTTTTATAATGATTAAAAGTATAGTTTTCTCAAATGATTGGAGTGGCTGAAGATTAATCTACTCCGCCCACTGGCCTCACCATTGCACCTGGTGGTGGATGACATTGCTCCCTCTCCCCTAACCAGGATCCATTACTCGGACAAGAAAAAATGAAAGAAAAAAAAATCTGTTCTTCTCCACAGTGTAACACCTATCCAACTGAATATTCTGCATCGTATTTACAGTTCCTGTTTGATTCCAGTCCAGAAAAACACTCATCTCCAAAACTACAAACATTCACTGTTGGGGGGGACATTGACGTACAGCTTGTCTTCAAGTTTGTTCTGCAAAAGAGCAGACCCATATTCAACAGCATTAAGAATTGTGGTCAAGGGTTGGTGCCGCTGTGTGTGTGTTTGCTCCCTACAGATTATAATCCTTATCCCAAAAAGACCCAATTCTGACTAATAAACCACTCAGCTTAACTCGCTGCTTATCACATAAGATCTTCAGCAGAGATGGCACCGATCTAATTCCATACTTGTCATCTTTTTTTTTTCCATTTACCTTACCTTGAAAAAAAGTCCCATTTCTCTCCTACATAGGAGCCACACCTAATAAGACCATGAGGAGACTTTCTAAGAGGCAGAGAGCATCTTTTTTTTTTTATCTGATTGAATGTAGAATCAGACACGACAGGGGATGCAGGGTGATGACATGGAATGTGCTGTAAGTTCCCTCACAGGATAAAAGATGGAGGGGATAATTCAAGATAATGAAAATGCATTCATCTGTAGCTTCAGAGGTCAAGCCGTGCTCATAATTTCCTTAAAGCACAGCTGGTTGCCTTTTAATGCCAGCCCTGCAGATTTTATGGTCAGAAAGCTTCTAGTGTCAGAAGTGGTGGTCTGCCAGGCTGTTGGCATGGTGACAAATGGCAAATGTTTTTTACTTATAGAAGTCCTTTTAACCTTAGCAGTTTAAAAAAGAAGAAAGGATAAAGCTCCTGGCCTACTCTTTGGTGCATTCTGTGTTTTATTGTTGCTTTCTGAAGGACTTAAAATTTCCCAGTTTGAGCCAAACCTGTGTGTTTTTGGTCTACTTGACATAAAAGAACACCTTGTTGGAAACCTCTGCCACCCCAGTTTAAAATGATCCGCCGGTGAACACACACATGTAGACAGTTTAGGTGGGTGGCATCTCCAGTGTCTGGTTTTCATTGCTCTGTGTCTGGTTATCTCTTTTTTGCAGGAGACACTTCGGGTACCTGTGGGGATCCTGGCACGCCTGCCCATGCCAGCAGGGAAGTGATGGGCAACTTCAAAGTGCGCAGCAAGGTGCGCTTCACCTGTGCAGTGGGACACACATTGTATGGCTCAGCAGAGAGGATCTGCTTCCCCAACGGGACATGGTCGGGCAAACAGCCATTTTGCAAGCGTAAGTGGAACTCTTTAAAAATTTGCACAAAAAAAAGGTTTGAGTGGAGAAGAGAGGAGTCTTGTGGAGAAGTGATACACACTCCTGTCATAGATTAGGACAAAATCAAAGTCCTACATGCACATTGAGATGCTTGGTTGCATTTTTAATTTTTTTATTTGATGATACCTTCGGGTTATTTTAGCTTTGCCTTAGAGACTACATACAAATATGTTTTTTTTAAATATATAATTAAAGTGTAATAATACAGATGGAATGTATTATGTAGTGAGTCACGTGGGTACGTGTCACTTGTTGTATGACAAATATACGGGGTATATATTTATGCATACTTTTCACGAGTTCTTCATTTTTCTGACTGTAAATGCCGTGCATTGAATTTAACAGAAACGTGAACGAGAGACGTTATTATCTTTGACCCATCAAATGAATGGAGTCATTTATTTTCAGAATCAAAGTTTAACATCAAACATTTACATTAATTTGGCAAAATATGAAAATAATAACAGACAGTTTCACAAATAATGAACTTCAAATCACTCGGCGGTGATTTGAGGACTTTGCTTCAGATATTTCTAAAATATCTGTACTGATTTTGTGAGAGAGAAGAGTTTAAGATGAAAGGAGATTATCTTACAGAGGAATATGTGAGGGAATTTAATCTGTTTGACCAGAAGTTGCACGCTCCGTCAGATCTCAGCTTTGCCCACGGTACACTTGGTCGAAGAAGAAGTTTTACCTTGTTGATGATCGATCACCTCAGTAAGAATACTTTTCAACTGATATCAGCGTCTCCGTTGAGAACTGCTAAAATCCTTAGAGAGTCGTGCGTGGTTAGCTCAAACAGAAATTATAATTCCAAACGTCTCTGGATTCTCGGCAACTCCAAAACTCTCCATAACTCTAGTTCTCTTCTGAACTCCTTCAGAACTTTTCCATTCTCCATGGAATCTACTGCACTCTTACTCTCTCTAGCATGAACTGGGAAGTTGCCACATTTTATTTGGGTCGACTTCCTGTTCAATTTAGAGCTTTCTGATTCGTGGAAGGACCAGAAAGAGGAGTGGTTTTGTGACGTAAGATGTTATCTAAGCCAAGGTCAGAGAATGAATCTGTTTTCACATACAGAAAAGATTATTGCAGAAGCAGCAGACTTCGTGGAGTCATTTACTCTGATATCTTCTCAAATAGTTAAACATGACATTTCTTCTTCAGTAAACATTTTAGTTGACCGAAAACCAACCTTTCACATACTTACGACAGCTTGCTCATTTCAGACAGAAAATCACGAAATGCATATTCAGGTGATTTCTTCTTGGAATGAGGAATAAAAATCATTACTTACTGTTTATGTAAAATAAAGATGAGTAGTTCTTTTCAACCTATAAGCATTGAGTGAAACTACCACAATTGATTATTAAAACATTTGTAAAACAGTAATGATTATAGAGGATTGTCTTTTCTGCTTGATTAATTCAATAAAGAAAGTCATCAGATGGTTCAGACTTATTCAGATCAATGAAAATAACAGTCTCTGTCCATCTGGTAGATTTGAGGTCATCTGGTTCACTACAATTAATAATAAAAGAGTATGGAGTTGTGAGAAGGCAATTGGACCCAGATTCATCAAATGCTTGAGCAGCTTTTCTCAGTTTAAATTAGGATTTTGCACATCCATCTACTTCACTAAGTCCTTACAATGCTGTACACCTCAAACTGTGCTGTCAATCAAACAACAGCTTTCTGCTTTGGCACAGTTTGTTGTCATTTAAATAAGGTATTATGAATACACTTGAAAAAAAACGTATATTTTTAGTACTGCATTTGATTCTCAAAGACCATCACTGTTTGCAACACACAGTTTGCATGAAGTAGCTGCCGTCTCTTGGTGGAATCTCAACTAAAGAAACTGAGGAAAAGGATTCAAGGATCTTTACTGTCATTCACATCACATTTGGTACTTGAGGTGGAATGAAATTGTGTACTCAAAGTCCCAGTTACACCCAAAAGTAGTAAAAATATAAAGTATAAAAAGAAACAGTACACAAGGATCTAAGATATACACTAAGATATACGCTAACGATACTCAAAAAGATCTAAGATATACGCTGAACACTAATAATGTAAAACAATATGGTATATTAATCAGCAGCCTGAACGTGAGTCTGTAGTGAGCAGATGGGTATGAATACAGCGGCATAAAGGCAAGAGATCAGCAGCCTGGATAATCAGCAGCACAGATAAGTCACATACCACCATTTAAAGTGGCATTGCAGTGATTTTTCTTTTTCCTTACAGTAATTTTCCTGGTTATGGATTTATGAGTCTAAAAGCTTCAGGGTAGGAGCTGCTCTTCAGTCTAGTGGTTCTACACTTAATGAAAAGGAGCAATGGGTTGTACTGCTGCCTTCATAGAAGCAAGTAAAGCATGTCAGAAAAGGAAAAATCCTGTCTTGTACACTGATGGGCGTTATAAGTTGTTGCATCTACAAATAAATGTGTACAAACAAAATGATTGTGGGACATTTTAACAGTCACAGGTGTACAAGCAGAACCACAAAAAAAAAAAAAAAACATTTTATGAGGTACTTGTTAAGGATTTTTTTGGTCAAAGTTTATGGATGCTTTTATTACTATGGCTGAGAATGTCAACTCTGCCCATGAATCATATGTTTGGATTAGCAACGAGAGAGAGAGCTGGATGAGGAGCTGGGTGAGGCTGCAACATGCAGGTGGCTGCAAGGACACCTCTGAGTCTGTGAGCTCAGCTGGACTGATAAGAGTATAAAAACAAGCTCACACACTGCTCGTGGCAGATTCTCAGGACTGGTCTTCATGTGTGTACTTCCTGTATATCTGTGTAACCTGTCCTGAAAATCTGACCTTGCAAGTAAAAACTGGTTAAAGATCTTCTCCTGCTGTCCAGTGTGGTTCCTTTTGAGTAAGATGAAGGGAGAATATTTTTCTCCAACAATACTTATTGTGAGACCCCACTCGCCTTCAGCAAAGGCGCCCTGGTTGGCAGCTGGGTATTTTCCCATGGGTCCAACACTCCCTGTGGAACCAGAGAGCACAGGAGAGCACAAGAATAATTTTTATTTTTTTTACTTCAAGTGAAAAAAGTGAATGCAATGATGGTTAAGAAAGCGCAAATGTCCTTCCAGTATAAATTTAGAAATCCTATCCTAAAAACAATTAATCCCTGATGCAGTAAGATATTGTTTGTGAAATGCTGGTGAAGATTCTCAGTCATCTAGGACATGATGAATTCAAAAAGCGTTCAATACAAAAGCAACTGGACTTTATTTGTAACAGAAGACGTTTTGCTCCGCATCCGAGGAGCTTTCTCAATTCAAACAGAAGTGAGTGAGGGATTCAGGTTATAAAGCCGAGTGAGATAAGACACACACATATGTAGATTGGCAATTCACACCTAAACACCTTAACAGTAGGGGTTTCTTAAAGTCTTTGTTACTCTAATTCACAGACGTATTGTTTGTGAAGTTTTATGCAGTGCCTGTGCTTTAATTGTTTAAAACTTGGAGCACATTGTTTAAAAAAAGTCATATTTTGATCAGGCATTAGCGGTGGCTCACACCAGTTGAATTTGATGGGCATGCTTGTGCCACCATATCAAAGGTTTGTTTCATTTTATGAATCCAACAGAAATCAAGATATGGGGGGAGGGGGGTGATAATGTGCAAAGCATGAGAAAAAACCAGGAGGTACCCATTATTAGTGTAGCAAGGTCTTTGTTTTTATGGGAGTCTTTGGTATGTGAAGTCAACATTTCAGACTTTTTGTAAAACTTTTTATATAATGCTTTAAAAAAAAGAATTATGTGACACTAATGAATGCGCTTGTTTCAAGAGTTTTCCACAAAAAAAAAATCGGGGGGGATATGGGCTTTCCATCAACAGTCTTATTATAACAAACTGCATCAGCTGTGATTTATAATTTTTTCTAATAGTACCCATATCCAGTATAAATACACAAACATCATCTGCAACATATTGTGTGTATTTTAACGCATACACAAACAATAAAAAAACAAAAATCCCAGCCCTTCACCATATGGATAAATATCTCTCTGTTGCAGTCTGGTAGTTTCTGGCAGCACATGGTGCTGTCACTATCTTCCAGACTGAAAACAGAAAATTCATTAATTCCAAACACCTAAAGCCATTTTTTCCTCTTTTCTGGATTGTGATAAATGAATCATTGTGAATTTTGAAGATATCTGCTCACTGAAGACCAGCTCCACATCTTGCATAAATTACCCCCCAAGGGTCAACCGGATATTGAGGCAAATGTTTGACTGCTTCTCCTCTCCTCTACTTACTGTTCATCAGCTTGGAACCGTGCCACTGTCGTTTTTAATATAACAGCCCAATTCTCAGTCCCTCTGAACCTCTCGCAGTGTATCTGCCTTTTTATTGCATCTCCTGTGTTTCTTGTCTTCATTCTCGCTCTTATTATGCTGCTTCTTTGATTTCTCTTTGCTTTAATCCTGACGTCGATCCGTCTCTATCCACTTTTCCATCTATCCCTCTCTGTTTTATACCTTTGTTGCTGCTCAGCCTTTCCCTCCCATCCGTTTTCTCTCCGCCTCAGGCTTTTTATCCCTCTATCTCCCAGCTGAAATCCTGATTTAAAGATTGTTTTAACCATCTTTCCAACTCAGGAGGGAGCGGGCAGGAATTTACGGGAGCCTGAAGAGTTTCCTTGATGCCTGTCTGTGATTTAAAGCTCTGTATAGTATTTAAGCTCATCCATCCATTATTCACAGCCCTTTACAATCTACAGATAACAGTCACTGTGAATATTCAGCTTAATAACCAGCTCACAGGACCATCAAGGTCTCGTTTTGAGTCATCACGGCAATCTTCAATTATTGAGAAGGGATTCTGAAAAGATTGCCATGCTTGATTATTGATAAAATCACACGGGAGGCACACGCCTGCCGTGTGCTCTGCAGTCTGAGCATCCGGCCTGATGAGGTACAGAATGTGCTTGAGTAATGTGTTCACTCCTGAGAAGTTTGTCAGGGTACATACCAGGTACATGAGAAATTACCGCCACACTAACAGCACGTATGTCTCCTAGAAGTCTCACTAGCCCACATTTTCCAGGCAATTAGGTGATTGAGAGAGCAGATCTGTTTTGTAATTAGACATGATTTACAGAAACAGAGACTTGTGAAACAAACTCTGTCTTCTCAACTCTTCAGGGATGCATTTTAGTAGATTTGTTCTGAAAAAGATTGAAGGAATATCTTCATCAAAACCCAGTTTTCACTTTTCTGCTCATTTTTTTTTTAACTGAAGGATTGCAAACCTAAGTTGAAGTCATTATTAAACTGAAACCCTGAGGGTTTTCACCAAAAGCAGAGATGTTTAATTATACCCACAATCTTTTTGCTTTTGTTCCCTGTTGTGGAGCCAAAAGGCAAAATTCTATCCCTCCTTCCATGTTGTGAGCATGATTACATGTCTCTCTTGTAACATGAGCCCCCAAAGCTCAATGGGATTAACCTGTATAAATAAAAGTTGAATGAATGATTACTTGAAAAATAGGTGATCAAAAGGACTTCATCAGTCTGAGCCACAACAAACAGTCCCACTGGCAACACACTCACATGGTGGACCAACCAGTTCGATGGTGATAAGATGGTTTCTGGAGTCTGCACTCTCCCCTATCAACTCCTTTGAGGCAGCCATGGCCAATAATGTTTTGAACCACTTTGGCCATGGTAGAGCTGTCATTTCTAACCTGAATCCGGAGCCCGGCCCAGCCCAACTCAGAGTAGAGCCGGGCCAGGCTATAATACTGTGTGGGCCGGACTAATGTTGGGCTTTTGATTATGTCAGCGGACGCACGAGCTGACAATCCAATTATAGGGCAACATGGCTTTGCCATACAATCACCAGCAGCACGTGGCTATTTGTCCGCACACTGACTGCCTTGAAAGAGGTAAAAAGTTCAGTTAAGCTTCAGATGGGACTATACTTCCAGGCAGCGATCCATCAAAGCCCAAATATACGTTCATTCAGCCGCTGCACTCAGCGGATGCACACGGCCAATGACCCAAACAGGTGACATCCCAAAATATCCGCTATGTCAGAGCAGGGTCCGTGTCTGAATAATGCAGAATGCAGGCAGAAGCAGAGATTTAATGTGCTTTGATGGCCATGAAAGACAAACATCCCCTCAGATCTGATCTTATGCTCCCTTAGCCGTGCACGTTTGCCGATCGTTATATAAGCAGTCAAAGCTTAGTCGGGGCGTTTTCAGGTTCTGACCTGTAATTACTGTTAATTTGTCGGGTGGGGTGGGGTTCAGAAATGATGGCTAAGGGCTGGGGCCAGGTCGGGTCAGATTTTTTGGGCCTGAATGCAACTCTAGCCATGGCTGCTTCAGAGGAGTCGTTGGGGGAAAGGGTGAACTCCAAAAACTATCGTATTACCATCAAACTGGTTGGTCCACTATGTAAGTGTGCTCCTCATAAGACTGTTTGTTGTGGCTTGTCGGACTGATGAAGTCCTTTGGATGAAGGACAAAACGTTTCAACACAAAGAAACCATCCAGAGGACCTGACTTAACTTTGTTGGAACTACTTCTGTTCTTCTCCTCAGTGTAACTTCTACCCACTTGAATATTTTGCACCAAAAACATTAAGGTATACTTTCATTCTCTGTTCAATTCCAGTCCAGAAAAACACTCATCTTAGAAACTACAAACATTCACTATTCAAATCCTTCAGCGATGGGAGACATCGGTGTACTGCTTGTGAATTTTAGGCAGAACTAAATGTCGTTACCAAAAATGAAAAGAATTAGAAAACTTTATAGTGTGAAAAGCATACTTTATTTTGTGATGACTTGTCCATATTGCTGTGGAGTTGTGCCTGCCACTGCATCTTCTCTGCTCATTAGTCTTTCCTAATAAAGCTACGATGCCAGATCGATTATCGGTCCTTTACTGGTTTGGCTCTAAGCTTCTCTGGAAGAAACTGCAATGTCACATAAAAACTCCAAACCTTCTTTCTGCCTTTTACTGACTCCTCCAGCTGAGCAGTTATCAGGCCGAGACGAGAAAACACTAATATTTATCATGACAGCACTTGTTTTATTAATGAATATACACACATTATGAGAGGAACAGACAGTTTCATCACAGTTCAATCACCTTGAGATGCTCAGATGTCTTGCAGCCACCTCTGGGGAGGGAGAACCAACCATCTGATTGTGTATCATTGATATAGAAAAATCCATTACTGTTTTACACCTCTGACCTTCACATCGTCTCTTTCCTCTCCCTGTATTGCAGCCATGCAGTGCGGGAACCCAGGTACCCCTGCTCATGGACGCATTTCCCGTGTGGACGGCACAACGTTCTCCCACTCCATTGTGTATTCGTGTACGGAAGGATATTTCCTCATGGGTTCGCCAACACGTCAATGTCTAGCAAATGGGACCTGGTCTGGCTCCGCTCCAAATTGCACAAGTGAGTTTCATCTGCACGGAAGGATGAGGAGCAGAGGCCCCTCAGATCCACAGCGTTTACTTTGTACAGTGAAGAAAAGTCTAATTACATGTGTGGTGTTAGTTTATTTTCAGCCTGCTAAACCAGAGCAGCTACTATTCCTCTCCTTTGTGATGCTGAACAATGAAACTAAACCTTTTTTAAATGTTGTTGCTCCAATTTTTTTTTACAAAATTAAGCATTCTGAGGGATCAGCTGTGACAAAAAAAAATGTTAAAAATATAAATCTTTGAAATCCTTCCTCATGCAACATGTCTACACTGGCAGCTTTTATTGTATTGATCTCAGCAAAATGAGTCTGTCAGTAATTAAAAACCATGCCAGTCTATATTTAATTTCCACCCAACGACTATCAAAGAAAATTACACATTGTTCCTCTCTGAAAATCACCACATTCGTTTCTTCCCTCATTCCTTTAGCCTATTATTGTATTACAGGAAAAGATAAATGGTATGGGTATAATTTTCAATTTTGGAGTAAAATGGGTCTCTAGAGAGTTATTCACAGGAAAGCAGGGGAAGGAGAAAAATATTGAAAACTGGATTGAATAGTAATGATCCAATGTGCAGAAATCCAGAGGAGCTTTAAAGTCTGCTCATACTTTCTGCTCTTACTTCCCATTAAAGTTTACTGGTCATCTCAGAGACATCAACACTGGGATGGCTCATTGTGCCGTCATTAAGGAAGCAATCATTTTCACGGTTCATGGGAAATCGATCATGTAGGGTAGCAGATCAAAGTCACAAAACACTTTCAAGGAGAAAGACAAAACTTCTTTCTTTTTTCCTCTCAAACTCTCGCTGTTTGATGAATGAAGTTTATGAAGCATGTTAAGGAATTAGCAAATTAGCTGAAGTGCATGAGAAGAGAGACTTGCTCAGTAAACTGAAGTAAAACCATAAAGCACTTAATGTGATAAATGGTAAATATAGATTTTTTTGCAAGACTATTTGTCTTATAACGGCCTGTAGTAAAGATGATTTATGCCCACAGTTTCTCATATTCATCAGTCTATTGGGAGAGACTGATATGAGAGATACAACTACTGGAGAACCTCAGATTGTATTGAAATCATTAGATTTGTAACTTGCTGGTTTTACATTTAATCCTGATTGGTCTTATGCATAATATATTTCAGTTTTGGCACTCTAAATAATTTTAACATTGTCAAAACAGAAATATAACAGATCATACTTTGTCAGGGAGCTCATAGAGCTTTGAAACATCAAAGCAATTTGGTTAAAAAAAAAAAATTAAAAAGTACATAAATGGTTTGTTTTTCTAACCTAAAAGAAAAGGTCAAACATTTGAAACTTATAAAAAAGTAATGTATTGTTGTAGATAAACCTTTGAACAGCCTCAGTTTGAACAAACTGTTTAATTCTGACTAAACTGACGAGCTAGCAGCTAGTCTGTGCGGCATCTCTAATCTCTAAAGTATCAGTTTGTATGAACGGTAATTTTTGAAACTTTATGCCATTTTACTCATGCTCATGCTCAATAATCCAGGTAGAAAATCCAACAAAGTGCAGTCAGGTCATCTGGAAAGTTTATTTTATTTTATTTTTTAGATGTTTCATCCTTCAGCCAAAGGACTTCATCAGTCAGAGGAACCAAAACAAACTGAGTCCCACAAGAAGCATGCTTACATAGTTGACCAACTAGTTTGATGGCGATAAGATGGTTTCTGGGGCCCGCCCTTTCCCCCGTCGACTGCTCTGAGGCAGCCATAGCCAAAGTGGTTCAAAACATCAACGTTCGTGCTCAATAATCCGGTAGATAAAACTAAATGTCTCAACAAAAAAAGAAACCATCCAGATGACCTGACTGAACTTTGCTGGATGTTTTACCTGGATTACTGAGTATGAACTTTGATGTTTTGAACCACTTTGGCTCTGGCTGCCTCAGAGGAGTCGACGGGGGAGAGGGTGGGCCCCAGGAACAATCTTATCACCATCAAACTGGTTGGTCCAGTATGTGAGTGTGCTGTTTGTGGGACTGAGTTTGTTGTGGCTCCTCAGACTGATGAAGTCCTTTGGATGAAAAACGAAACTTCTCAACAAAAAAAGAAACCCTTCAGATGGCCTGACTGAATTTTGTTGTGTTTATGCCATTGTCAATTTTCTTTGAACATGTTATCACCAAACAAAATGCCAAAAGCACCTGAAGAAATGTACCCAAATTGAATTAAATGCTGTTCTTGAACCCTTTGAAGTAGTAAATTTAAAAGCTTGGTCTCTCTGTAAAGGTAACACAGATTTTTTTTTTTGTCATAAATATAGTAACTATTATGTAGTTATTGAAGGTGAACCACAAAAATCATTTTTTTTTCTCATTTGAAATGTTTTAAATATGTATTTATGTTGCTGCACATGGAGGGATGTGGAAAAGTGTGAGGCTGCAGCATCAAATCTTACAAAATCCTACAAACATAAAATAACTATAGCACCAAAAATCATTATTCTGAGTATATTTTTATGAGAGTATGTCCATGCATATTTCAAAGTGTCCAAATGAGGCACACAGCAATAAGCACATAAACACACAAGTCACAAGCCCCTGCACCACACACAGCTGAAAACACAACAAAAGAGCATTATTTCCGTACTCCTTCCAAAATTATTTACATCTAAACAATATATAAACAAACAGCAGCAATTTATAGTAGAATAAGTTCAACTATTAGCCCCAGTTCATAATCCATCCTGTCCAAGGCTCTCCCAGAGTCGCTTCACTGCTCGCCTTTTTATCCATCTCTTCGTCAGAAAAATCACTCTTCCTCCTCTTATCCCACTCAGCCACCTCGTAAGAGCTGTATTTTCTCTTCATAGTACGTTTTGCCATCTTTTAGTAGAAAATGAACCTCAAAATATTTTGTTTTTCCCATTAAAAAGGGGCATACGCGCTGGCTCAGGCTAAGAAATGTTTCCAAAATTTGTTTCCTACTTCCATTTTAGATTTTGCCTGTGAACATTGCATTTCCACGTCCCAGGAATTTGACTGGCTATACGTCTGTAGCATCAGAACACGCTTCAGAGCTGACTGGTCACTTCGGTATACAAGAGTGCTGGTGTACCCAGTTAGAACACATGACGCTCCATCGACATTAATGGCTCTGAAGAGACCATAGATCGACCCAATTGATCAAATGAGGTGTCAACCAAAAGAGGAGTCTACACTGCCATTTTGACACCTGGTATTTAAATTGCAGGCATGTGGCAAAGCATAGCAGCTAAGCAGAAAGATGTCACAACAGTCTGCAGGTGGGCCATTTTGTGCTTAACTGCAAGTGCAAATAGCAGCAGCAGCTAGCTGTAGCACTCCTGGTACCAGGAATATCATAATGTCTTATTCAGAATAACCAAGTAATGCATAAAATAAAACAAGATTGACCTTTATTGATCCATTAAAAAAAAATGCTCTGCTCTTTGAATTGAGAAAGCTTCTTGGGTGAGAAGTGAAACGTTTTCTGTTACAAATAAAGTCCAGTTGTTTTTGTCTTGACCTTTTTTGAATTTACCATGTCCTGGATGACTGAGAATCTTCACCAGCGAACTTTATTGATCCCACAGGAAATTGTTGAAAATGACATTGATTCAAAAGTTTAAACATTAAAATCTCCATCAACCGCTATGAAATTATGAAAACCGTCATTTTAGGCATAAAAATAGCTTTGGCTAGCTGTTCATTAATATTCTGATGCATGCCCAATAATGCTAAAATAAAGGTATATGAATGTTGAGTCAGGTCCACTGGACGGCTTCGTCTTCTTCTGAAAGAATCTGTCCAGAGGACCTGACTCAACCTTGTAATGTTCATTAATGTTTACATTAATATAGTCCAAGCAGACCTACTTAAAATGTGAAAATGATGATTAATTAAATGTTTATTAAATGGTACTCACATGAACCGTAGCAACTTTTTTCTTATTATCTTATTGGAGTTGTTTTGTGTTATCCACTTTGGTCTTGGCCTCACAGGCTAGATGTTAGCTTGTCAGTCCTGTCAGAATTAAACTAATTTTTCAAGCTAACGCTGCTCCAAGAGCCCATATGCAACAGGAAAACAATTATTTGTTCATAACCTTCCTACAGAATCCCATTCTAAAATGCTTGTCCTATTAATGGTCTATTAACTAACCTTTTTCCCAGATGATCCATTTTCTTTTAATGCTCTGAAAGGAAAATGCTGGACTGGTAAAACTAGCTAAAGTTCATTTGTTGCCTTTCTACATTGTGCTGACACGATTTATTCACATTTAAAAATAAAAAAAACATGTGTAAACACTTAGATTTACACACACTGATTGTTTTCTTCTTCTTCATCTCTCCTTTTCCACCTTCTCATGAGATGGATATCTGCTGAAAGTTTTAAAAGCTGTCTTTTATTCAACACAGTTGTTTCTAGCTTGGAAACATGTATTTAATTTATGATCATGTGTCATTTTGATTCAGAAAAGAAATGAACTGCAGCTTTACAATAAAATGAGGGAAATACGAACTGACACCTTAAAATAAAGCAGCTATAAGAGAACATGTGTTGGTAAGAGTAGAGTGATTCAGTTCCTGTTCTTGACAGAGAATCTGATAAATGTTAGTGAAGGATGATCACCTGTCAACAGAGTCTCACTGGACTGCAAAATAAAATATGTCATATCCTGAATGTTACTGAACTAAAGTGAGGTTCACAGCAGTGGTTTATATCTTTGAGTCATTTTTTCTGACTGGTCGTTGCACAACTAATTTTAGTCAAACAGTCAGTGTCTCCTACAACACACACTTTTATTGTCTCCCATCACAAACAAAGCGGGGGAAGTGGAATTACACGTTTTCTGTTCGTGAATGTTTTGATCATGACAACTTGAAAATTAAGTGATGCTCTGACTTCCACCTTAGTGTGCGGCTACATAGACATAAGAAAGGTTTCTTTCAAAAATAAGGCTGTCACATCAAATTCAAAAT